GCTACTGCTGCTGCTGTTGCTGCTTGTGCTGCTACTGCTGCTGCTGTTGCTGCTTGTGCTGCTACTGCTGCTGCTACTGCTGTTGCTGCTTGTGCTGCTACTGCTGCTGCTGTTGCTGCTTGTGCTGCTACTGTTGCTGCTACTGCTGTTGCTGCTGCGCGCGACACGAAAACACAAATCGGAGTGAATGACTCACCGCCGTGAATAAGGGCCCGCGTGTCAGCAGTGTGTGACAGCGAAGCCGCTGTGTTTCTGTCGGGTGCCTTGGCATGGCCACGAAATCCTCCCAAAATACAATATCCGTTTGTGAACTTTCATCGAGTGTCCGTGCCCCCCCCCTGCCCCTCCCCTCTGCCCCTCCCACCCCATTCCTCCGTGTGTAGTCCGTACTCACTCCAGAACCGCCCGGGAAGCTCGTCGCATCCGATTGGCCGGTTCACTCCTATCCCCCCCCCCCCGAAACAGACATTGCCACACGCGAGAATAGAACCTCCCCCCCCCCTCCACCCTCGTCAGATTTTTTGGGTGGCGTAGAAATAATTTTAGAGGGAAAACGATATATTTATTAAAAAAATTGTTCATACAATTTGTTGCGGGGTTTGTTGTGGAATGTTGAGCGCTGAATGGAAATGACCCGCCCCCCCCCCCCCGGATGGGTCTTTGGGTTGGGCCTGGAGCGTGCACCGCATACCGACGGTTATAAAACCTTCCGGGCACGGAGAGGCTCCCTCCTGGTCCTCCTCAATTACACCACACGTCTGGAGTGATGAACAATGTGATGGGAATTACTGTAAAGGTAGCGCTTGCAGCAGATCCTGTTGGTGGCGGAGGTGGCGCAAGCGGTAAACACTCGCAGCAAGGAAAGGGGGGCCTGGGTTCGATTCCTGAGTCGGGCCCCCTTTCTGTATGTCACTTTGACACGTGCTTAGGTAAAACCGGCACTTTTTTCAAATTTTCTTGCTGTGGATTTCACACCTGATGGAGCGACTGAGAGTCACCCGTGAGTGGCTTGTCGCGTCGCGTGTCGGGTCTGCCCACCGCGGAGTGAAGTCACTCTTGGCCCCTGGGGGGAGGTGGTGGGAGCGAGGGGGGGGGGAGCGAGTTGGCTGTGAAGGACGCCGATCATGTTCATACCACCTGGCCAAGCCGGTTACTCTGCCACGTCGCGACTCCCCGATGGCGGTGTCGCGTCCCGTACGTCGCTGCCGGGGGGCGCGGGGGGGCGGGGGGGGGGGGTCCAAACATTGTTGGTTGCTAAGCGCAGGGCCCCAATTGACACCGAGAAGGCCAAGCGGCCAGCGTCGTACTGCACCGTCGAAGGTGCAGAGTGGATCAGCGCGAGTCGTTAGCCAGGTTATTGTTCCATTGGAACCTCATTTGCCAGTAAAAAATATGATAATTGTTTTTTTACCCTTCTATCTGGCAACAAAACTGACACCTTTTTTTACAAGGAGAGTCATGTTTGCATAGACCGCAATACCTGCAGTCATAAATACAAACAAAAAACATAACTCTGTATGCACTGTCCTTGAAGTTGATTGGTCCACACCCGAGACAGCTTTCCTTAGAGCCTAGTCTCACATGGGTTGGACCAGATGACGCCAAAAGGCGCACCTTGTTTGCATTATGACTGCAGGTATTGTGGTCTATGCAAACATGACTCCTTGTAAAAAAAGGTGTCAGTTTTGTTGCCAGATAGAAGGGTAAAAAATCAATTATCAGGTTATTGTTGTTGTTGTTGGAGCTTGGCGGTAATCGAGACCGACGGCCGTCGTTTCGTTCCTTCGTGGCGGCCGGGAGCTGTTTCAGTCGCGGTGGAGAGAAGCCCCCCCCCCTATCCCGACATGGGAGGGGGGTTGGGGAGGGGGGGCGGGGGGGGCGAAACGTCGGACGTCGCGCCAATCGACACGCAGTGGTAGAATTCGAAAACGTATCGGAGAGGTGGGATATTTCACCTCTCTGGCTTGTCTATTGTTATTATGATTAATTATTGTTACGTGTGTCTACACGAGAAAATAAATTGTTGGCTGTGTGCAATCCCAAATGAGCCGCCTGCGTAGTAAAACATTTCTTTTTGATTTGGCAAAGTTGGTACGGTGACACCGGCATACACGCACACGCACCGCAGTATTAACCCGGGCAGCCCGCCGGATTCGAACCGCGGGCATCCGCGTCACCGCCCCGCCGAGACAGTGTCGCGCAGCAAGCCCGGGCACGTGCTTCCAACTACCCAACCGTCGATGCCAAGTGTGTAATTAATCCTCAAATTTAAATCGAAGCAAATGACGCCTGTCGTGGTTTTATGAGCGCAGGTTGCGTATTGCGAGTGGCTCGGCTTCCGAGCAGGTCGCGAGAAGCAGCTCGGGGTTTGTTTGATGTTCCTAACTAAAGAAGCCCTTGGAGGAGGCGCGGGGGAGATCGTCACGCGCTGCGCAGAAAAAAAAGACGGAACGACCCTGTCGTCCGTGTCGTTTTTCGAACTCCAGTTTCACAGAGTTCACGCTTTAGGCTCGCCGGTGTCTGTCCGTCTTGTCTGTAACGTGGGGGGGGGGGGGTCACGATGACACCCCGATACACACGCAAACCAGAGTGTAACAGCTGTGTCGCTGTTCGGGACACGCGCTGTCGAAAGGCAGGCTGTTCTATTAAACTTGGGCAAAGAGGAATATTTGTAAATACGACCGCAACGAGTTTTGTCCTAATCGCTCTTCCCCCCCCCTTCCCGCAGGCGTACGCATGGTCCTTGGAGCGGATCCGCGGGCTGGCGAGGCTTCACTCTCTCCGCGACGCCGCCGCCGCCACCGCCGCGGAGAAGCACGTCGCAGCGGAGGCGGTGGTGAGGCGCTTGGAGGCGCTCTCCCGGCGCAGCCCCGACATCCCGGCGGCCGAGTTTGCCGAGATGGAGGAGGTGGCGCGGGGGTTGGCGCGCGACGCCGGCCACTCTGGCGCCCTGCGCCAGCTGCAGTTTGCCCGGGGCAAGTGTCGCGAGGCCGGCCAGGACTTCTCGCGCAAGCTGGAGGCGGCGCTCCGGACGGCCGCCGCGGGGGGCCACCGCCCGCGCGGCCGCGGGGAGAGCGTCGCGTCGCCGGCGGAGGGCGGTCGGGAGGCCGACGCGTTCGGCGGGGATGCGTCGGACGGGTCGCCGGAGAGCTCGCGCGCGGACAAGCCCGCGGGGGCGCGCCGTGACTCCCGCCGGGAAGAACGCGAATCGCTCGAGAGTTTGGTCTTCAAGGGGATGGACTACTGGACGTCGGACCGCATGGTGGGCGACCCGGCGGGGGATGATGCGGCAGACCCCGAGGCAGCGGACACGCCGAGCCCCGCGCCCAAGAGCGAGTCCCGGCAGCGATGCTACAGCGTCAACGACATGCGCGTCGACGAGCGCTCCGAGTTCAGGGGGCCGGCCGCGGAACGGCCGCCGCCGCCCCTCGCCGGCCACAGGGAGGGGCGGCTGCTGAGCGCGCCCGTCGGCGGGCCCGACCCGCGGGACGGCTCGGGCGACGCGCGCCCCGCCAGGAAGGCCGGCAGGGAAGCTCGCGGCGGCTTCGCTCTGGAGCACGCGCACTCGTTCCTCGCCAACTGCAAGGCGGTGCTGCTGCGCGACAAGCGCAGGCCCTTGCGGGCGGCGGACGACCGCGCCGACGGGCAGCCGGCCGCCGCCGCCGATTGGCGCAGGAGCCTCAGCGCCCTCGAGTCGATCGACGGGGACGTGGTCGCCCGTGGCGACGGTGCGGCGCGCTCGCCGCAGCGGAGTCCCGCCAGGTCGCCCTCGGCCCGCGGCGGCGGCGACGGCGCCGGCGGCAGCGGCTCACGAGCGCAGCAGCAGCAGCAGCAGCAGGCGCAGCAGCAGGCGCAGCAGCAGCAGCAACAGCAGCAACAGCAGCAACAGCAGCAGCAGCAGCAGCAGGGCGGCGCTCGGCCGCCCCTGCGGAGGCTCGTCAAGGTGCACAGCATGGACGCCGGCATCGGGCGCAGCATGGAGGCGCTGGGCGGCAGCGGCGCCGCCGGCGGCCTGTACCAGCGCGAGCCCGTGCTGCGGCGCGGCAACACGGGGGTCTACATCCGGGGGCTCGAGGTGGGCAGCACGGTGGCCGTGGAGACCGGCTTCCTGCCGCGGTCGACATCGCACAGCGCCCTGCACTCGAGCGTGAGTAGCGGTCGTGACGTCGTGACGTCGTCGTCGTCGTTGTTGTTGTCGCTGGGCTCCCAACGGTTCCCCTTGGTGGGATCCTGTTGTGAGAAGCCACGTGGGGACAGGGTTTGACCCCCCGCGGATGACCGGACACAACTCGCCCACCCTCGCTCCGCCGATGCGACGATTAGAAATCGCCCTTGTCACATAATCGATGTCATTTTGTTTCTTTAGAGCTGCATTTTGTGTTCAGTTTGTCCCCACCCGCGAACCTCCGACTAGCACGGTTGGCTACGTTTGGCACGGAAGAAGTTAAAGATACATTTCTTTTCTTTCCCGCTTGTCTTTCGCTCCCAACAGCAGCAGCAACAACAGCAGCAGCAGCAGACAGGAAGTCAGCAGCTGTCGCCCACGCACCGCCGGCCTGCGCTCCTCCGCTCGGGCAGCCTGCCCGTGGCGCCCGTGCAGGGCCGCTTCTCCGAGACGGAGAGCCACAGCCGCGGGAGGTGAGTGGGGCGACGCTCTCGCTCGGGCAGCGAGTGAGAGTGCCACAGTCGGCACCGTGCGAGAGCGGGGGGGGGGTGGTGGAGCTGCGAGTCATCTCGGTCGATCGACCCTGTAAAGCCTTGGCGATGACCTGTATCAGCGGTGTCAAGATCGGCCTCTGTGGAGGCTCGTGAAGGACACTACTGGATAGTTGGAAGCAGTCGCCCCCCCAACTAACGACACTCACAAAAAGTTGTAGAGTGCCGGGTGGCTTAAAACACGCTAACAGCACTTGCCCCAACCGCCTGTGTAGGTTACATAGCGGACCTTTTGTGGACAGGGAGTGGTGAAGCAATGGTTTGCAGATTGCCATATGAACCCGTCGACCTGAGTTTGATTCCCATAGCCCTAGCCGGGAATCAAACCCACGCAATCAGACTAATTGGCCGATGTTCAGGTGATATCCTGGTGCAGTGGGTTAATATCTGCACTGGTGAGACAAAAGAAGGGTTAGCTGCTGGCCACACGACCCGCATATGTATCTTGCCGGCCTTTATCGGTGCTTGCTAACAGCACTTGCACCAACGGCCTGTTCAGGGCGATACAGGGGATCATTGGCACAGTGCATCTGCCAGTCGTCTCAGTCAACCTGTGGCAGCTGGGTCGGTCTCGAGATCTCCTGTTTGCGAACCTTCAACAGTTTCCGTGGCCTCAAGGTGCGTCTCGCCCGGCATAGGATCCACGGCGCCGTCACCGCCACTCGGCGGCGAACGGCGATTGTTGTCGAGTGGGTTCTTGAGTAGCTGGGCGTGAAGAGCGGATTCGTGATTGAGCGTGCTATCGTCACTTGCGGTGTGGTGGTTGAACATCCTTAAGTGAACCCGTGGCACCTGTGGCAGAGGTCGCAAACGGGTTTTGATTCCTTACCCGTACCCGTACCCGGCCGCACCAGGGTCGCAAACAGGTACCCGTACCCGTACCCTACCCGATACCCGGCTACCCGTACCCTACCCGTACCCGGCCGGGTATCGGGTAGGGTACGGGTACCCGATAGCGACCTCTGAGATGAAGCCATGTTGCAGGCGCGGGTGGGTTGATTCTAGGAACTTGAATTGTGAGAAGAGACAAGACGTTGGAAAATGAGTGACAAACGGTTACTCACCAGTGACTCATGGCCTACCCGTACCCGGCCGCACCAGGGTCGCAAACGGGAACCCGTTCCCGGTCGGGTACGGGTAACCGGGTATCGGGTAGGGTACGGGTATCGGGTACCCGATTGCGACCTCTGACCTGGGGTCTGTCCCATGATGACCTGCCAGCGCAGCGGGCTCACCCTTTCCCCCCGCACAACTCACGTTCGGTCCGTCTCACTCGCGTTTTTCTCGCCGCCGCCGCCGCAGCAAGCTCCGGCACGTGGTGGCGGAGATGATCGACACGGAGCGCGAGTACGTGCGGGCGCTGGCCTTCGTGGTGGAGCACTACGTGCCGGAGCTCGACGGGCCGGGCACCACGACGCCGCCCCCGCCGGCGGAGCTGCGCGGCCGCCAGAACGCGCTGTTCGGGAACCTGCGCGGGATCCTCCGCTTTCACGAGGGCTACTTCCAGCGCGAGCTCGAGCAGTGCGCCGTGCACCCGCTACGCGTGAGCCACTGCTTCCTGCGACACGTGAGTGACGGGCGCGCGCGGTTTGAATGCAGGCGGCGCGAATTATTTTTCTCTTTGCGGCCGAAAGCTCCGTTGTTATCGGCACTTCGCCATCCGGCAATGCGCTATTGACCGCCGTCGGTCGGAGACGACAATTCGAATGTTCACTTTGAATTGTGGATGTTGTGGGTTTACTCTCTGACACGCCGGGTGTGCTGAACGAGTAACGTATTGACACGTTTTATTTACGTGGCAAATCTTACTAATTGGCTGTGACGAGTGGTGGTGATGGTGGTGGTGTGGGTTTAACGACAGATTCATATTCACGCTAACTAACTCAAAAACCTCTACTGTGGAGGGCTTTTGCTCTATACATGTATATTTTTAAAGGGCAGTCTCATCTCAGCATATTTCATTAGGGGTAAACTCTTGCGGCAGTTGGTCCCATCGATGGCTCAGCAACTACCTACGAACATTGCCCAGAGACTCACATTTGCTCACGGATCACGGCGCTTCGCGATGATCACATGACACGCACCCGGGAGGCGGCCTGGCTGCTGAACTCTGGATCAGAGCGGCCTCACAGATGGCTTAGCCCAGGGGTCGGGAACCTTTTTGACTGGGAGAGCCATAAAAGCCAAATATTTCTAAATATATTTCATTGAGAGCCATATAGTATTTTTAACGTATAATAAATTAAATGTCTTACTTTTAATGCGACTTCTGGTCACGGGACCCGTGACCCGAGAAATTGTATCTTCAAAACTAATTTATGTTTACTTTAAATTGACACAGTATTATTAAGCAATATCACAAGTATTTTAAAATCAGTTCCAAACTGATTTTATTTTTTTATTATTTTTGTTTTTCAACTCAAAATTGTCTGGGAGCCATATGCCGTCACCGGAAGAGCCATATATGGCTCGCGAGCCATAGGTTCCCGACCGCTGGCTTAGCCGCTACTGCGGCTCGTTTATCCGGGCAAGCCTCGGCAAGGCTGTTTGTTGCACACCGATTGGCTCTGTGCGGGGCTGTCCCGGGCTGGATGTGGTGGCAAGGACGATGGGAGGGCAGGGGCGGTGGGCACGGGTGGAGCGGGAGTGGGGGGTAGCAAGCCTCCCTTTTATTCGTGCAACTTTCTATCAGGCTGTGTTTCGACGTTGTTGGGCCTCAAGGCTGAGAAACGCCACACCTGGCGGGGAGCCCACACCTGGGCAGTGGCGAATTTATTCGTTGATTATTCCAGTGGCAACCACAAGCGGAGACAGTTTTAAATGTCAGGACGCCGTTGTATAATTCATGAGCGGGGTGGTGACCCTTCTGTTGTGCACGCGGAACGGGAAAAGACAGATTTTTCAATTATATTACACTGTTAATTTTGGAGCTTTCGTGACTGCAGGAATTATTCTTTGGTTCTTTCGGTTAAGTCACGTCTAAAGATAAAATAATAAATTTAATAATAGCATATTATGCTATTATATATGCTACTAGCTGTACTACCCGGCTTCGCCGGGGACTTGTATCTACCACGGCCGGCCGCCTTTGTCTCCCCAGTGGCGATGTTAATACGCTACAGCAGTTACTCGTTTGAGGCAGAGTCGACCTAGGGGAGGTTCAAATAATCGTCACCGGTGGTGGCCGTGAGCGGGAATCGAACTGGGTTTGCCGTGTTGGTAGCGCAGCGTAGCGTTAAGCACTACACCCACCGCTCCTCACACACCACACACGCACACACACAGACACACACACAGACACACACACAGACACACACACACAGACACAGGCAGCACGCTAAGCACTACACTACCGTTCCCCCTACACAACACACGCGCGCGCGTCCATAGGTACACATACACGCGCTTGCTGCAGACACACACGACTTTCAGGGTGCGTACGGCAGTAAACGACTGAAATAATAAAGCGGCAATGCTGTGTAAGGAACGCCTTAGACCCGCATTACACATTTGTGTAATGCGAGCGTAAACACACAAACACACACGAACACATACACAATACACACACACATACATGCAGACACACAGACAGACACATAACACACATACATACACACACATACAAACACAGAAACACATACACACACATACATAGACACACACATACACATCCACAGACGTACATACACACATACATACAGGCACGCAGACATACACATAAACACATACAAAAAAACCCACATACATACACACACACATACATACACACAAACACATGCACACACATACATACACACATGCATACAGACACACAGACATACACATAAACACATACACACATACACATGACCCGGCTTCGCCCGGGACTTGGATCCACCACGCCCGGCCGCCTTTGTCTCCCCAGTGCCGATGTTAATACGCAACACCAGTTACTCGTTTGAGGCTGAGTCGACCTAGGGGAGGTTCAAATAATCGTCACCGGTGGTGGCCGTGAGCGGGAATCGAACTCGGTTCGCCGGGTTGGTAGCGCAGCGTAGCGTTAAGCACTACACCCACCGCTCCTCACACACCACACACGCACAGACACACACACAGACACACGCAGACACACACAGACAGACACAGACAGACACACACACACACAGACACACAGACAGCACGCTAAGCACTACACTACCGCTCCCCACACACCACACACGCACACACACAGACACACACACAGACACACGCAGACACACACAGACAGACACACACACACAGACACAGACAGCACGCTAAGCACTACACTACCGTTCCCCCTACACAACACACGCGCGCGCGTCCATAGGTACACATACACGCGCTTGCTGCAGACACACACGACTTTCAGGGTGCGTAAGGCAGTAAACGACTGAAAAAATAAAGCGGCAATGCTGTGCGAGGAACGCCTTAGACCAGCAACACATTTGTGTAATGCGAGCGTAAACACACAAACACATACAAACACATACACACACATACACACAAACACATACACACACATACACACACATACATACACACAGACATACACATACACACAAAACACACATACATGCACACAAACACATACACAATACACACACACATACATGCAGACACAGACAGACACATAACACACATACATACACACACATACATACACAAAAACACATACATAGACACACACATACATACACACAAACACATGCACACACGTACATACACACATACATAGAGACACGCAGACATACACATAAAGACATAAAAAAAACCCACATACATACACACACACATACACACAAACACATACATACACACATACATAGAGACACACAGACATACACATAAACACAAACACACATACACATGACCCGGCTTCGCCCGGGACTTGGATCCACGATGCCCCGCCGCCTTTGTCTCCCCAGTGACGATGTTCACACACGACAGCAGTTACGCTTTTGAGGCTGAGTGGACCTAGGGGAGGGCCAGGTCCGTTTCAAATAATCGTCAGCGGTGGTGGGCGTGAGTTGGAATCGAACTGGGGTCGCTCAAGCAGCTTAATGACTGTTTGTACAAAGAACATATAAAGAATCGATTATAATAACCAGGCTACAGTCCACATTATAGACTGCCAGTACACGCAGTCAGCTTCATAAGCAGGCTAGAGTGTACATGATAGAGTGGCAGTACGCTCACCGAGCTTAATAAGCAGGCTACAGTGTACATGATAGACTGGCAGTACGCTCAGCCAGCTTAATGAGTATTTGTACAGTGAACATTAAAGTAATCGATTGTTGGCGCGTTGGGTTTAAAAGTAATATTAATAGCACACATTGTGGTGGGGGTGTAGTGAAGAGTAGGAAAAACTTTGATGAATTTACCTCAGAGTGGCGTGGTGGGTGTCGAGGCCTAGTAGCGTGCAAAGCCTGCGGCCTCGCCTAAAATTGTCGGCTTGGAAGAGGCAGGGTACGGGTGGCGTTCCTTCCCCCCCCCTAGCGCTCCAACAATACTGTGTAATGGCTATTATTTAATTAAATACGGAGCTTATGAAAGTGGCGAAGGCGTGGCTAGCCGTTGGCAGGGGCAACCGCCGTCCAATGAAACTGCAGCCCTTGGCGAAGGCGTGGCTAGCCGTTGCCAGGTCCAATGAAAGCGGCGAAGGCGTGGCTAGCCGTTGCCAGGGGCAACCGCCGTCCAATGAAAGTGCGTATGGGCCGAAATACACACACACACACACAGACAGACATGAACGATTTTATATATATAGATTATTCAATTTATTATTTTATCTTTAGACGTGATAAATAATAAATTAAATAATAGCATATTGTGCTATTATATATGCTATTATTTAATTTATTATTTTATCTTTAGACGTGACTTAACCGAAAGAACCAAAGAATATATTACACTGGTCAATACACTTTTTCTGGCATAAGGTATTCCAACGGTTGTAAGGTAATTTTGGGGTGCTGGTTCCAAATCTGGCATCAGTTTGTGTCTATCACATCAGGTTTTTGAGATATCAAATATTGCATTTTCAATAAAAACTGCAGAAGAAAATTATTAAATAAATGTGGATATCTACGTAAAATGATATTATAAACACACTATCCTAAAAATACAGCACCATATTTTAACACTAAAGCAGTCACTGACTCGCAACAACTTGCAATCATAAGTGACAGAGTTAATTCCGGGTAAAATCAATGAAAATGGGGATTGCCGATAGCATATAAATTAACCCGTAAAAACAAAGTTTTTCACTATAAATCCTTTATATGCGTGGCGGCTAGAGTCCTCTCGTCCTCTGGCTTGAGATGGCTGCCACCTATGGGTCAGATGATTGACTGCCACCATTAAGCAATTGGTAATTAAATATAATTTATTTTTTCCTAAAAAGTGTCAAAATTTGGAGAAAAAATTTTCACGAAAATAAATTGTCACGCACAACGAGTCTGTGTGCAAAATGTCAGCTCGATTGGATCACGGGAAGTGGGTTAAAAAACGACCGAAAGATTTGCACGGTCGTAAGCAAGCAAGCAAGCAAGTGAACTTAATATAAAGGATTTAAAAATGAGATGTGATAGAGCAAATCTGAGATCATATTTGGAATCAGCACCCTGAAATTAGTCTAGAACAGCTGCAAAAGTCCAGGCCAGAAAAAAATGCTTTTTTTTTGTTGACCCAGTGTTAGCGATCGCAATGACTCGCTACGTTTGACGTTTGTTGGCCCTGTCGTTCTTGCGGCACGGAGGGGCGATGGGCACGAAGGCACGCACCGCTGCGTGCGTCACCAACACGGTCCCGCGGTGGTTTCGCGTTGAGGGATGTTGTTGTGTGCGATCCAAATTGAGTAGTTTGTGGTGCCGTTTTGTTTAAATATGGCAACGGGCATTGGTTTCCTCCCGCATGTACGGAACGCTCTTTAAACGGGGCTGGCCAAACATCCCCAATATAGTTCTAGATTTGAAGCTTTCGTGACTGCAAGGATTCATACTCTTAGGTTTTTTCGGTAAAGTCACGTAGGTAAAAAATAATAATAGAAATAAAATAATAATACATCAATTAAATCACGACGTGTTTTAAAATCTTGTCTATTGGATTGTTCCTCACTTGATACAGTAAATTTGGCTGTGACGGTCCCACCTGAAGACGGAGACTTGTGTTGCCTCCGAAACGTCGTGATTTAATTGATTTATTATTATTTTAATTCTATTATTTTACCTACGTGACTTTACCGAAAAAACCTAAGAGTATGAATCCCAATATAGGGCCACAGTGTAAGTCTAAGGGAGCCTTTAGCGTTGAATTCTATGGAAGCCTTTATCAGCATCAGAATCTGAATATTTATTTCAGATTCCGAAATAGAGTTTCACTTGGGAAATTGCTCGTGGGAGTTCTGGCTACCTTCCCACCTTGTGGTTTCTCAACAACAACAACAACCGCCATTCGCCACTAAGTGGCGGTGACGTCACCACGACGCTTGTGCCAGGCTATGTGCACCTTGAGGCCACGTGAAGTGTCGAACGCCCGCTGGCAGGGGGTCACGGGTTTCTCACACACACACACACACCTCCGAATCATTAATTCTGTCCCAGATCGAATGAAAACATCAGCGTCACGAATTCTAAACGATTCATCCCTAACCTTCCCCAACCCCCACCCGCCTCCACGTTGCAGGCGAAGCAGTTTGAGATGTACGCTCTCTACAGCAAGAACAAGCCACGCTCCGACGCCCTGCTCGCCAGCCACGGCATCGCCTTCTTCCGGGTACGCCGCCGCCACCGCCTATAGCACACCGGCCACTTGAGCCGGCCGCCACCTCCTTGCGTCGCTCTTCTATCGCGCGCCGGCGTGGTCGACGTTAGTTAGCACGCCTGTAATTTCCACCTCCCACTTTGAGGACTCTTTCGTGCTTACCGGAACACAGCCCCCCCCCGCCCGCCCATCCGCCCCCCCCCGCCTGCCCAATCGCCCCCCGAACGCCCCCCCCCCTGCTCCCCCACCACCACCCCCCCCCCCCCCTGCCCACTCCCCGACCGTTTTTGTCTCCGGCCACGGTTACATTCAGCCGAGAAACGGCGTCGACTGCCTTTGCCCCTCACGGCTTTGAAGGTGTCGGGTTTTTTTCAAGTCTATTTTCGAGGGTCACGTGGGGGAGGGGAGAGGAAGCCCATGTTCTGCACCCGTTCAACATTTTTTTATAATAATAAATAACAAATTAAAAACCCGCATAAACACATTGGGGAGTTTAAGCGAAACGCAGGTCAGATTTGGAAGACGCGCCTAGAGGGTTTGTAAGAGTGGCCAGCCTTGCGCCCAAACCTGCACAGTGAATCTCCCTCTCTCTCCACGAGTTCTGGTTTCGCGAGTTTTCTCACATGTTCACGGCCTTCTAAATGTACACCAATTCCCTATTCGCGACCACATTTTTCTCGTCGAAACAAGATCATCCGCTTTCGCGAATTCTGCATTCGCCAGTGTTTTCAAGAAGGTAGCCCTCGCGGATAAAGAGGTTTTTTACTTTAATTATGTCAAACTTCTTTTGCACCGTACATAGCCAAACGTGCTGATTGGAGGTGCGACGGAAGGACAACAAACTAAACGCAAAAAGCAGTTCTAAAGAAATTCGTTTTCAATCTAAATGTAAAAGTGCATAGCTCCAGTGGCTTCCTAATGTCGGAAGGAAGAGCGTTCCAGACGGCCTCATAAGTGCATCTGCGCGATGCGGTGACCACCGTCTTTGCTGCGAGGATGACCGGACTTCGCGTAGTTGTAGTAGTCGTAGTGCTGCAACGATGCACCGAAATCACCACGTCAACTTTCTACATCCGCGTAGGCGAGTGCACCGACCGGCACGGCGACGTAATGCTTCAGAACGTGGCCATCCCCAACTCGGCCGATTCGATCTCAAGGAGCGGCAGTTGAAACCGAAAGGGGCAGGTCTTTGTTGTACGGCTGGTCGAAAGGCCGCTGCGAGGATGAGCGGAGTTCACGTGGTGGCGGGGCTTACGCTCCTTGCTGACAAAACCGGCGTGGCATCGCGGCCGGCTCATAGACCCGTCGTCAGAGGTCGCAAACGGGTTTTGATTCCTTAGCCGTACCCGTACCCGGCCGCACCAGGGTCGCAAATGAGTACCCGTACCCGTACCCGGCCCGGGTACGGGTACCCGTTCCCTACCCGTACCCGTACCCTACCCGAAATGAGTGACAAACGGCTACTCACCAGTGACTCACGGCCTACCCGTACCCGTACCCGGCCGCACCAGGGTCGCAAATGGGTACCCGTTCCCTACCCGTACCCTACCAGAAATGAGTGACAAACGGTTACTCACCAGTGACTCACGGCCTACCCGTTACCCGTACCCGGCCGCACCAGGGTCGCAAACGGCTACCCGTACCCGGCCGGGTACGGGTAGCCGGGTATCGGGTAGGGTACGGGTATCGGGTACCCGGTTGCGACCTCTGCCCGTCGTCTCTCGCCACGCCCGCCGACCGGTGTGCTGTCCGTCGTCGTCGTCGTTGTCGCCGCGTGCGCGCAGCGGAAACAGCTGGAGCTGGAGGACAAGATGGACCTGGCCTCGTACCTCCTCAAGCCCATCCAGCGCATGAGCAAGTACGCGCTGCTGCTTCGCGACATGATCAAGGAGAGCGCGGGGGCAGAGTCGGCGGGCGTGGTTGTGGGGGGGGGGCCCTCCTCCCCCCCCCTCCCGGATGCCCCCTCCCCCGCCGCCGCCGCCACCGGCGCCGCCTCCGAGCAGGACTTGGAGGAGCTGCGCGCCGCGCTGGATCTCGTCAAGTTCCAGTTGCGGCACGGAAACGACCTCTTGGCCATGGACGCCATCCGCGAGTGTGACGTGAGTGCCACCCCACCCCCCTCCTGCCTCCCCCACCGTGCGACCACGGTGGCTAGGAGATGTTAACTACCTCGCCTGGTGTGCAGGAGGTCGTGGGTTCGATCGCGACCCTGACGCCTGCTGCTGTATATTTGGAGTTTGCGTGTCTCTCTCTCTCATCATCATCACGGTGGCTAGGAGATGTTAACTACCTCGCCTGGTGTGCAGGAGGTCGTGGCTCCGTTCCTGACCTTTGACGCCTGCTGCTATATATTTGGAGTTTGCGTGTCTCTCTCTCGCTCTCCCCGTGGTCGCGTGGATTTGTCTCCGCATCCTCTTCTCACTCCGCATTTATAAACTTGCATTCAGAGTGTGTGGCTGTTGTAGATTTCCGCACGATGCGAAGCCGCGTTGGCCGGGATATCATTTGTGATGGCCACGTCACTTCTGATGAAAGAGCTAAAAAGCTCTGTGGGCCTTACCTGGTAAAATAACAAGTATAACCCGTAAAAAAAAGTTTTTCACTATAAATCCTTTATATGCGTGGCGGCTAGAGTCCTCTCGTCCTCTGGCTTGAAATGGCTACCACCTATGGGTCAGATGATTGCATGCCACCATTAAGCAATTGGTAATTAAATATAATTTTTTTTTTCCTAAAAGTGTAAATTTTTTGAAAAATGTTTTCACGAAAATAAATTGTCACGCACAACGAGTCTGTGTGCAAAATGTCAGCTCGATTGGATCACGGGAAGTGGGTTAAAAAACGACCGAAAGATTTGCACGGTCGTAAGCGCGCAAGCAAGCACGCAAGTGAACTTAATATAAAGGATTTAAAAAAAGAGTTCATAGTTTCGGACTTGCCACCTTTGACTCTTCGAGATTCGCTCGCGCGCGATTCAGCCATTCGGTCGCTTTGTATGAGAGTTACCGATTTGCGGATGCACCCCACACCCGCCTGGGCTCTTCAAGGCATCGACGGCCGCGTGCGTTTGTGGGGAGCAGCAGTGCCGCAGCAACGGTTCGCGCGCTGCGCTGTGAGCCCGGCGACACGACTTCGATTCCCGCTCACAGTCAACACCAGCGACGTGGATCCGAAGCCGGTCTTGGGCCACCCCCTGTGTTGATTCGTGCCCGGTGCCGTGTGTAAACATCACCACTGGGGAGACAAAGGCGGCCGGGCGTGGTGCTGGCCACCCAACCCCTCGTGTGCCACCGTGCCGGCCTACATTAGGTGCTGCACGCTAACAGCACTTGCCCCAACAGTCTGGTTAAGGCTATACGGGTGGGGGGGGAATCTTTGTCGTTGTTGTGCGTGCGCTTGCAGGTGAACCTCAAAGAGCAGGGCCAGTTGCTGCGTCAGGAGGAGTTTGTGGTGTGGCACGGCCGCAAGAAGATGCAGCGCAGGGTGTTCCTCTTCCAAGAGCTGGTGCTCTTCAGCAAGACCAAGCGTGCCGAGGGAGTGCAGGATGTCTACGCGTACAAGAGCTCCTTTAAGGTGCGGCACCAGGCCCGGCAAGGCCCGGCAAGGCCCGGCAAGGCCGGTGGGGGAGGGGGGAGGTGGGGGGGTTTGACCCCCCCCCCCCCCCCACCATTATAGCGCCAAGCAGAGTGAATTTGGCCGGGCCTAAGAGGGAACATTTGGTGGTGCGGGGCCGGGCCCCATCCTGGCCTCTCGAGTTCTCGCCCCGGTTAAACCGGCGAAACGAAAACGCGCTCGAAATGCTGCTCGGTGTGAAACGGGGTCAACCGGGTCGGTGAGAGGTGACCGTGGGTGGCCAGGGTCGTCCGTGGCTGCCGTCAGGCGGGGAAGGTGTAAACCTCTGGGAGGAGCCGGTCCTGCCCCCCCTGTTTTGCGCGTGACGAACGTCCCAGTTCCTGGATTGTAGCAAACGGAACTGAACGGCCGTACAGTTGGCGGGGCGTGGCGCTCGTTCGCTCACTCGTTCGCTCGCTCGTTCACTCGTTCGCTCGCTCGTTCACTCGTTTGCTCGTTCGCTCGTTTGTTCGTTCGCTCGCTCGTTCACTCGCTCGCTCACTCGTTCGTTTGCTCGCTCGTTCGCTCGCTTGTTCGTTTGTTTGCTCGCTTGTTCGCTCGCTCGCTCGTTTGTTCGTTCGCTCGTTCACTCGCTCGCTCGCTCGTTCGTTTGCTCGCTCGTTCGTTTGCTCGCTCGTTCGCTCGCTCGCTCGTTCGCTCGCTCGCTCGCTCGCTCGTTCGTTCGTTTGCTCGCTCGCTCGCTCGTTCGTTTGTTTGCTCGCTTGTTCGCTCGCTCGCTTGCTCGCTCGCTCGTTCGTTCGTTTGCTCGCTCGCTCATTCGTTCGCTCGCTCGCTCGTTCGTTCGCTCGCTCGCTCGCTCGTTCGCTCGCTCGTTCGTTCGCTCGTTCGTTCGTTTGCTCGTTCGTTTGCTCGCTCGTTCGCTCGCTCGTTCGTTCGTTTGCTCGCTCGTTCGCTCGCTCGTTCGTTCGTTTGCTCGCTCGTTCGCTCGCTCGCTCGTTCGCTCGCTCGCTCGTTCGCCGCGATTGTGGTTCGACTGCACGCCGACGAGGTTGTCGACGATGCGATGACGACTTGAAACCCGGCAGACGGCGGAGCTGGGGCTCACCGAGAGCGTGGGCGAGGAAGGGCTGCGCTTCGAGATCTGGTTCCGCCGCCGGAAGTCGAGCGAGGCGTTCGTGCTGCAAGCGCCGACGCCCGAGCTCAAGCTGGCATGGACGAGGGACGTGTCGCGCATCCTGTGGCAGCAGGCGACGCGGAACCGCCGTGAGTACAGTACAACGCCGTCGCTGGCAGCAAGCAGCGCCCTCGTTTTGTCAGCGGTGGGATCTGCCGAGCGTTTGTCAGCAATTCTACGAGAGCAGAACAATAGGCGCAGGCCAAGAAAATGAATGTAACAACACACGCACACACGCGTGCGCGTGCCCGGCGTGGCATGTGCACAAGGCCTTGTCCAGATCACCAGCTCAAAAGAACCACATTTGGCCACGTTGAAGTTTTTAGACCGACTGAGACCGCTGCGCAGTGACCGCTGCTGTCTAGTCTTCGCCCTTTCCCGGTCCGAGACGTCTGCAAGTTGCGGGGTTGGGTCCCCGTTCACCGCCGAATCCCGGAACGCGCAAGCCCCGTTCGGGGTTCATCTTGCTTCGAGAGGCGTAGTAGCGCCGTTCTTTTTTAAAGACACCGCACTCGAACGCGGAGAATAGCTGGTGCCAAACTGTGCCACGCGCCCTCCCGCGCATGGGCTTATGGGAGACTCGGTACCGATGAAGTTCTCGTATTTTAGTTTTTCTTCCAGCTCCGATGAATGAGAATCAAAAATGGGTCCACGGTCGTTGTCGCGCCCCCCGCCCCCCGCCCCCCCCCGCCTCCCGCCCCCCGCCCCCCCCCCCGCCCCCCCCTCCGCCCCCCCCCGCAGAGGTGCGCATGCAGGAACTGTCTTGCATGGGCATGGGGGGGAAACCCTACATGGACATCCGTCCCAGCGCCGCGGCCATCAGCGACCGCGCCATCGAATTCTTCACCAGGGGCCGTGGTGAGAGTCTCACCCCCCCACCCCCACCCCCCCCCCGAATTCGTGACTCCCTTTCTGCCTCCCCTCTCCCCCCCCGACACCACCTGCGGCTCTTACACACGTCCCCGCACGTCTCTCGCTCACGTGTCGTGAAACGTCGCGTAGCGCTCGACGGCCCGGTGGGGTGATCCGTGGGTCGGGCCTTGGAAATCCTTTCTCCCACAAGCGGGGTTATTGGCAGGCATCTTAGCCACACTAAATAGGTGGGGGCGGGGGTGGGGGGAGATATTGCGGACAATCCTGGCACGATCACAGGAGCCCCCACCGTAGAGCCGAGGCTCAGCCGGGCTTTCCCCCGGGCGAGCGAGAAGAATCGTAACAACGAGTGAATGTGGCCCCCCGGCGTGCGTTTTGAGTGCCCCCTGCGCATTTTTTCTCCAGGGACGCGGTCGCGAGCCTCCATCGCCGTGTCGTCCTTCGACCACTCGGGCCAGACCTCGCCGCACCGCTCCGCCTTCCTGTCGCCAGTGGGCGGCCAGGCGTTCGGCGGCCTCTACTCCTGCGTGGGTCCCGGCGGCGGCGGCGGCGCCGGCGGCGGCGGTCCCTTGCTCAGCCCCGGGCGGATGGCGGCCGCCAACAGCGAGTTCCAGTCCTGCATCCAGGAGGAGGAGGACGCGACGGAGCCGGACACGGGCAGCCAGCCGTCCGTGGGTGAGAGCAGTGGGCCCACCACCCCCCCACCCCCCACCCCCCCACCAACACGCTCACCAACCACTACTACTGTGTTGGTGACGTGGCCCTGCGGTAGCGTGCTAGCGGCGGAGGTTTGCGGTTCGAGGGCCAGCGGGCCTCCCTGGTTAATGCTGCCGTGCGCGTATCAAGTGTACGTGCAGGAGTAGGCCCATTGTGTGTGGCGTCCAAATTCCAAGTACACTGCAGATTAGTGAATTGGTGTTACACGTTGCAGTCGTGACTCATGCTGGCAGACTCATGCCCGCTCGCAAGTCAGGTGCCAAGTCATCCTGTGCCGTACAGGTTTACGCTAACCTCTGCCAAAAGGAGTGTTGCAAAATTCCCGTGTTTGCGCGCACGTACACACACACGATGAGTAAGCAGCGCTTGTGCGTACGTACACACGAGGAGTAAGCAGTGTGTGTGTGTGCACGTACACGTGGAGTAAGCAGTGTGTGTGTGTGCACGTACACACAAGGAGTAAGCAGTGTGTGTGTGTGTGCACGTACACACAAGGAGTAAGCAGTGTGTGTGTGTGTGCACGTACACACAAGGAGTAAGCAGTGTGTGTGTGTGTGCACGTACACACAAGGAGTAAGCAGTGTGTGTGTGTGTGCACGTACACACAAGGAGTAAGCAGTGTGTGTGTGTGTGCACGTACACACAAGGAGTAAGCAGCGCGTGTGTGTGTGTGCACGTACACACAAGGAGTAAGCAGTGTGTGTGTGTGCACGTACACACGTGGAGTAAGCAGCGCGTGTGTGTGTGTGCACGTACACACAAGGAGTAAGCAGTGTGTGTGTGTGCACGTACACACGAGGAGTAAGCAGTGTGTGTGTGTGTGCACGTACACACGTAGAGTAAGCAGCATGTGTGTGTGTGCACGTACACACAAGGAGTAAGCAGTGTGTGTGTGCGCACGTACACACGTAGAGTAAGCAGTGTGTGTGTGTGCACGTACACACAAGGAGTAAGCAGTGTGTGTGTGTGTGCACGTACACACAAGGAGTAAGCAGTGTGTGTGTGTGCACGTACACACGTGGAGTAAGCAGCGTGTGTGTGTGCGCACGTACACACGAGGAGTAAGCAGCGTGTGTGTGTGCGCACGTACACACGAGGAGTAAGCAGCGTGTGTGTGTGTGCACGTACACACGTGGAGTAAGCAGCGTGTGTGTGTGCGCACGTACACACGAGGAGTAAGCAGCGTGTGTGTGTGTGCACGTACACACGTGGAGTAAGCAGTGTGTGTGTGCACGTACACACGAGGAGTAAGCAGTGTGTGTGTGTGCGCACGTACACACGTAGAGTAAGCAGTGTGTGTGTGTGCACGTACACACGTGGAGTAAGCAGTGTGTGTGTGCACGTACACACGTGGAGTAAGCAGTGTGTGTGTGCACGTACACACGTGGAGTAAGCAGTGTGTGTGTGTGTGCACGTACACACAATGAGTAAGCAGTGTGTGTGTGTGTGCACGTACACACGAGGAGTAAGCAGCGTGTGTGTGTGCGCACGTACACACAAGGAGTAAGCAGTGTGTGTGTGTGTGCACGTACACACAAGGAGTAAGCAGTGTGTGTGTGCGCACGTACACACGTAGAGTAAGCAGTGTGTGTGTGCACGTACACACGTGGAGTAAGCAGTGTGTGTGTGTGCACGTACACACAAGGAGTAAGCAGTGTGTGTGTGCGCACGTACACACGTAGAGTAAGCAGTGTGTGTGTGTGCACGTACACACAAGGAGTAAGCAGTGTGTGTGTGCGCACGTACACACGTAGAGTAAGCAGTGTGTGTGTGTGCACGTACACACAAGGAGTAAGCAGTGTGTGTGTGCGCACGTACACACGTAGAGTAAGCAGTGTGTGTGCGCACGTACACACGTAGAGTAAGCAGTGTGTGTGCGCACGTACACACGTAGAGTAAGCAGTGTGTGTGTGTGCACGTACACACGTAGAGTAAGCAGTGTGTGTGTGTGCACGTACACACAAGGAGTAAGCAGTGTGTGTGTGTGCACGTACACACGTAGAGTAAGCAGTGTGTGTGTGCGCACGTACACACAAGGAGTAAGCAGTGTGTGTGTGTGCACGTACACACGTGGAGTAAGCAGTGTGTGTGTGTGTGCACGTACACACATGGAGTAAGCAGTGTGTGTGTGTGTGCACGTACACACGTAGAGTAAGCAGTGTGTGTGTGCACGTACACACGTGGAGTAAGCAGTGTGTGTGTGTGTGCACGTACACACATGGAGTAAGCAGTGTGTGTGTGTGTGCACGTACACACGTAGAGTAAGCAGTGTGTGTGTGTGCACGTACACACGTGGAGTAAGCAGTGTGTGTGTGCGCACGTACACACAAGGAGTAAGCAGTGTGTGTGTGCACGTACACACGAGGAGTAAGCAGTGTGTGTGTGTGCACGTACACACGTGGAGTAAGCAGTGTGTGTGTGTGCACGTACACACGTGGAGTAAGCAGTGTGTGTGTGCACGTACACACGTAGAGTAAGCAGTGTGTGTGTGCACGTACACACGTGGAGTAAGCAGTGTGTGTGTGCACGTACACACGTAGAGTAAGCAGTGTGTGTGTGTGCACGTACACACGTAGAGTAAGCAGTGTGTGTGTGTGCACGTACACACAAGGAGTAAGCAGTGTGTGTGTGCACGTACACACGTAGAGTAAGCAGTGTGTGTGTGCACGTACACACGTAGAGTAAGCAGCGCATGTGTGGGCACGCACACACGTGGAGTAAGCAGTGTGTGTGTGTGCACGTACACACGTGGAGTAAGCAGTGTGTGTGTGTGTGCACGTACACACGTAGAGTAAGCAGTGTGTGTGTGTGCACGTACACACGTAGAGTAAGCAGTGTGTGTGTGCACGTACACACGTGGAGTAAGCAGCGTGTGTGCGTACCTACACAAGGAGTAAGCAGCACATGTGCGTACGCACACACGAGGAGTAATCAGCGCACACTTCTCTTGCAGCCACCGCCAGCACAGACTCGCTGTCGCAGTGCACGTCCAGCGGCAGCGGCGACAGCGGCTGCAGCTCGCGCTTCCCGTACGACGCCTCTGCCGATGAGGTGGGCGCCCCCCCACCTCTCGCCCGAGCCCCTCTCGGCCCCTTCCCCGGGCGAGGGCTCCGCCCGGCCGGAGCGCCGCCATCCCCGGCGTCGTCGGGCGACGAATCGCAGGCCCTCGCCGCGGGCCGCGGGCCAAGCTGTCGGCCCATGCAGGCGAGCGGCACCTCCGAAGGCGGCGCGCGTTACGGCCCCCGTGGCAATCGGGCAGAGGGCACGCGCTGGCAGGCGGACGACGCTTCTCGGCGTAATGGTGACAAGGTGAGGAGAAGCTCAGACCGTCGGTCTTTGTCCGCAGTTATTTTAAATCCTCTCCTGTTGAGTTGCTCCTATCCGAGAGCCCCTGTTTGGAAGAGGGCCTTGTACCAGAAGGGCCTATCCTAGCAGTTGGCCACGATGCTATGGAACACACACTGCCCATTGAGAGCAGATCCGCCGAGTAAATCTCCGCCTTTAAAGCTCAGAAACTCGTCTGTTCAAAAGGTCGTACCGTCTGGCTTGAATTCCCTCCTCTACTCTCCCACCTTGCATATTCCGTCCCTTGAATTCTCTGTGCTGCTCTTACGTTTCGTACGTATGCCGTTGTTGTTTTTTTTTCATGCAGTAGTTTTGTTTTTAGGATGTTTAACATTGAATCTTTTTTACTGTTCGGCGCTTTGATCGTGGGAAGAGCGCCATCATAAATAAAATGCATTACTATTATTATTAGAAGTGTTGTGAAGAAAAGCAAAGCAATTGCAGGGCTTAGCCCCCCCCCCTCTCGACCTTCAAGAAGTATCCGGCGACTGGCGCTCTGATAATTTTTTGTCTCCGTCTCCCGTTTCCAGAAGGGAGGAGGCAGCTTCCCGTGCAGCCCATCGACGCCCTTGTGACACCTGCCACCTTCCGCTCTCACGTGAGAAGACACAAACCCACATTTTTGCCGTGTTTCCTTTTTTTTCTGGGAGACCTCAATTTCACCCCTCATTTTCTTGGTTCTTTCGGTAAAAGTCACGTAGGATGGAAAAAATAAAATAATAAAAATCAAACGTAATAAAAGAATTCTCACGACGTTATTATGTTTTGTTTTTATTATTATTTTATTACTTCCCTTCTACGTGACTTTACCGAAAGAACCAAGAAGATGAATCCCTGCAGTCACGAAAGCTTTAAATATAAATATTTAAATATGTTTTATTATTATTTTATTACTTCCCTTCTACGTGACTTTACCGAAAGAACCAAGAAGATGAATCCCTGCAGTCACGAAAGCTTTAAATCGAATTTCACCCCTCATCTTAGCTCGGCGGAATTTTCGATGGCCGAGGGTCGGAGATGGAGCCGAATGGAAAGCTAATCGAGAAGAAGCGACGGGAAAATCTCCGCGAATTCGGCGAAAGCGAAATTGATGACGTCTTGGCACGCGCCAATCTTCCCTCACCGTTTATCGGTCCCCCTCTCCGCTCCGTCACGCCCCCCCCTCTCCCCTCCCAGGTTTCCACTGCGCTGGAGAGATGAGGCGTCGGGGAGGGCATGTGGACGGAGTGCCTGAAGACGTGTTTACACATTTCCACCGTCCTTGTGCCATCAGCGCCATCAGCGCCCGCTGCAGTCGTCGTTCATTCACGAAAGGGGGCAATGGTGGGCGGGGGGCAAGGGGCATTGTCGTTTCTTGGTTCTCACGCGAGCACTGCATCGGCCACTATCGTGCAAAGTGCAATACGACATTGTGGTACTTGCTCTAAATTAATTGCCACTTCACCAAAAAGGGTGGCTTTAAATATCCCGCATTGTAGCAGAGGCATTTATTAGTTCATCCATTGCAGTATGTGAGGTGTGTCACTTTTATATAATTTTAAAGCACCCTTGTTCCTCGCAGTAACTGTCTTTATAATATATATTTGACTCGTCTTGCGTTTATTTAAAGAGTTTTAAGATTCCCTTGAACGTTAGCACTTCACGTTTTGTCCGTCGCTCTGACGCAACTGCTGCCACCGCCACCACCTCCACCGCCGCCACCACCACCACCACCGCCACCGCCACCACCACCACCGCCACCGCCGCCGCCACCACCACCGCCGCCACCTCCGCCACCACCGCCACCGCCACCAACACCGCAGCCGCCACCACCGCCACCACCAACACCGCCGCCACCACCGCCGCCACCACCACCACCTCCACCACCACCGCCGCCACCACCACCACCTCCACCACCACCGCCGCCACCACCACCACCTCCACCACCACCACCGCCACCAACACCGCCGCCACCACCACCACCGCCACCAACACCGCCGCCACCACCACCGCAGCCGCCACCGCCGCCACCACCACCACCTCCACCACCACCACCGCCACCAACACCGCCGCCACCACCACCGCAGCCGCCACCACCGCCACCACCGCCACCATGCACGCGCGTGTGTTGGCAATATGTTCAAAGCCAGTTAATGGAAGGGGCATTGTGACACTGTCACCACCACCACCACCCCCCCCCCCCCCTCTGTTAAATCTGCTTTTGAAACAAGCGGCCAGTAACATTGCATGTAAAGTCGGTGGCTTGTGATTAAGGGCTGGGGGTTAGGGGGTGATTGAGCCACCATTGACCGCCCACTTGTTACTCACTCCGTAGGCATGCGCGTGGCACGTGTCGGGGTGGTGGTGGTGGTTGTGGTTTGAGATGAAACGATCGTCAAATGGAAACGTTACCCACACAGCATCTCGAATTGACCCGCCCTTGAAGGAAGCCATGTCCGTGTACATAAAGTGGCCTGCCCGGCAGTGCCGGATGAAGTTTAGTGCGGGGCCTGTAGCATATGATGTTATAACGGGGCCCAAATTTACAACAACAAAAACACGTAAATATTAAAACACAAATGCGTTACTTGAATAGTAATTGTATATTTGCATTTGCTCTACGGCCAGATAATGCGACAAATCGCTAACCTTGAACACCCAGTGGTCGTTCGTAAAAGTCGAAGGCGGTATAGTACTATAGTAATAGAGCAAGTGCAGAATCACCGAACCGGAATTGATAGCTTGAAAGCATTTCGCGCGGGGCCCTTGAAAGTGCGGGGCCCGTAGCTACTACACGTGTAGTAGTAGCTACTACTACATGTGTAGTAGTAGCTACTACTACACGTGTAGTAGTAGCTACTACTACACGTGTAGTAGTAGCTACTACACGTGTAGTAGTAGCTACTACTACACGTGTAGTAGTAGCTACTACACGTGTAGTAGCTACTACTACATGTGTAGTAGTAGCTACTACACTACTACACATGTAGCTACTACAAATATAGCTACTACATGTGTAGCTACTACTTATGTAGTAGTAGCTACTACACGTGGTGTAGTAGCTACTACTACACGTGGTGTAGCTACTACTACACGTGTAGCTACTACTACACGTGTACTGCTACATTTGTAGCCACTTTTGCTACGAGGATCATCCGGCACTGGTTCTTAGTGTTTGTGGGGGGGGGGGGGGGTGTGTAGGGGAGCCTTGATGACTCCGCTGTCAGACGCAGGTGACCAGGGGGTCTTCAGGGGGTGGTTCGCGTTACGTTCGCCTTGCTTGGCCCGTTACCCCCAGGTGTGTGTGGCTGCAACGCGTTGGGCATTGCTGCTAATGACACCTGCCCGATTCGCTACACTTTTGCTGCCTTTGTTGGGGGGGGGGCAGTTTGTTGACGCGTTTCGTGAAGTGAGCGCGTGTTCATTAACGTGGCAGCAACGCGGATCGGGGTTTTGTTGTGCGTGTGACGGGGGGATTGGGGGTGAGTCTCACTCCGCCGTGGGTCAAATCCGTCATCTGGGAAACCGCTCCCAGTGTCCAAAGCGACGAGCATGTTTTGTCACGACGGCGTTGTTCCCCGTGTCGCCGACAAAAATTGCGGGCATTTATGTTGCTGTTTATTATTGGCGAGCCATTGCACTGACTTTGCAAGTTCATGTAAAGAAATCGGAACTCTTTTGTCGGTCTGTGCCCGGTTATTAAAGTACTCGCCAAGTTGTGGTCACGTGTCGGACTCTGCTGCCCCCCCCCCCCCCCCCCCGTGTTGTGGTCACGTGTCGCTCTCTGGTGGACATGAGACGAACTACACCAATAACAACGAACATCCCCCCAACCAACAAGCCCCTCCCCCAACCAACAAGCCCCTCCCCCAACCAACAAGCTCCTCCCCCAACCAACAAGCCCCTCCCCCAACCAGCAAGCCCCTCCCCTAACCAACAAGCCCCTCCCCCAACCAACAAGCCCCTCCCCCAACCAACAAGCTCCTCCCCCAACCAACAAGCCCCTCCCCCAACCAACAAGCCCCTCCCCCAACCAACAAGCCCCTCCCCCAACCAACAAGCCCCTCCCCCAACCAACAAGCCCCTCCCCCAACCAACAAACCCCTCCCCCAACCAACAAGCCCCTCCCCCAACCAACACGCCCCTCCCCCAACCAACACGCCCCTCCCCCAACCAACAAGCCCCTCCCCCAACCAACAAGCCCCTCCCCCGACCAACAAACCCCTCCCCCGACCAACAAGCCCCTCCCCCAACCAACAAGCCCCTCCCCCAACCAACAAGCCCCTCCCCCAACCAACAAGCCCCTCCCCAACCAACAAGCCCCTCCCCCAACCAACAAGCCCCTCCCCCAACCAACAAGCCCCTCCCCCAACCAACAAGCCCCTCCCCCAACCAACAAGCCCCTCCCCCAACCAACAAGCCCCTCCCCCAACCAAGAAACCCCTCCCCCAACCAACAAGCCCCTCCCCCAACCAACAAGCCCCTCCCCCAACCAACAAGCCCCTCCCCCAACCAACAAGCCCCTCCCCCAACCAACAAGCCCCTCCCCCAACCAACAAGCCCCTCCCCCAACCAACAAACCCCTCCCCCAACCAACAAACCCCTCCCCCAACCAACAAACCCCTCCCCCAACCAACAAGCCCCTCCCCCAACCAACAAGCCCCTCCCCCAACCAACAAGCCCCTCCCCCAACCAACAAGCCCCTCCCCCAACCAACAAAAAGAAACCCACCACCAATGTCAGATCCCCCCCCCGTGTAGCCTGTAACAGACTGCAAGGGGCAAGTGCTGTTAGCGAGTAGCAGCACCTGTGAACGCCGGAACACGGTGGCCAAGCACCACGCCCGGCCGCCTTTGTCTCCCCGGTGGCTACGTTTACACACCGCGCCAGGTTCACATTTGAGGCTGAGTCGACCTGGGGGAGAGCCAGGACCGATTTTAAGATATTCGTCCCCGGTGTCAGATCCGAACCCACACGGCTCCTCGTCCCATACACCGCCGCCGCGTCCTCTGGGACCCCAAAACCCATTTGAACGCGCACACACATTGAAGTCTATGGGAGCCTTTAACATTGAAGTCTATGGGAGACTTTAACATTGAAGTCTATGGGAGACTTTAACATTGAAGTATATGGGAGCCTTTAACATTGAAGTATATGGGAAGATTTAACATTGAAGTCTATGGGAGCCTTTAACATTGAAGTTTACAGGAGACTTTAACGTTGAAGTCTATGGGAGCTTTTAACATTGGAGTCTATGGGAGACTTTAACATTGAAGTCGATGGGAGCTTTTAACATTGAAGTCTATGGGAGCCTTTAACGTTGAAGTCTATGGGAGACTTTAACATTGCAGTCTATGGGAGCCTTTAACGTTGAAGTCTATGGGAGACTTTAACATTGAAGTATATGGGAAGATTTAACATTGAAGTCTATGGGAGACTTTAACATTGAAATATATGGGAAGATTTAACATTGAAGTCTATGGGATCCTTTAACATTGAAGTCTATGGGAGCCTTTAACATTGAAGTCTATGGGAGCCTTTAACATTGAAGTCTATGGGAGACTTTAACATTGAAGTCTATGGGAGCATTTAACATTGAAGTCTATGGGAGCCTTTAACATTGCAGTATATGGGAAGATTTAACATTGAAGTCTATGGGAGCCTTTAACATTGAAGTCTATGGGAGCCTTTAACATTGAAGTTTATGGGAGCTTTTAACATTGGAGTCTATGGGAGACTTTAACATTGAAGTCGATGGGAGCTTTAAACATTGAAGTCTATGGGAGCCTTTAACATTGAAGTCGATGGGAAGATTTAACATTGAAGACTATGGGAGCCTTTAACATTGAAGTCTATGGGAGACTTTGACATTTAAGTCTTTGGGAGCCTTTAACATTGACGTCTATGGGAGACTGTAACATTGAAGTCTATGGGAGCGTTTATCATTGAAGTCTATGGGAGCCTTTAACATTGACGTCTATGGGATATTTTAACATTGAAGTCTATGGGAGCCTTTAAACTGAAGTCTGTGGGAGCCTTTAACATTGAAGTCTACGGGAGCCTTTAACATTGGAGTCTATGGGAGCGTTTAACATTGAAGTCTATGGGAGCCTTTAACATTGAAGTCTATGGGTTATTTTAACATTGAAGTCTATGGGAGCCTTTAACATTGAAGTCTATGGGAGACTGTACCATTGAAGTCTATGGGAGCGTTTAACATTGAAGTCTATGGGAGCCTTTAACATTGAAGTCTATGGGATATTTTAACATTGAAGTCTATGGGATCCTTTAACATTGACGTCTATGGGATATTTTAACATTGAAGTCTATGGGAGCCTTTAAAACTGAAGTCTGTGGGCGCCTTTAACATTGAAGTCTACTGAAGCCTTTAACATTGAAGTCTATGGGAGTCTTTAACATTGAAGTCTATGGGAGACTTTAACAATGAAGTCTATGGGAGCATTTAACATTGAAGTCTATGGGAGACTTTAACATTGAAGTCTATGGGAGCCTTTAACATTGAAATCTATTTGAGTCTTTAACATTGAAGTCTATGGGAGACTTTAATATTGAAGTCTATGGGAGCCTTTAACATTGAGGTCTATGGGAGCCTTTAACACTGAAGTCGATGAGAGCCTTTAACATTGAAGTCTATGGGAGACTTTAACATTGAAATCTATGGGAGTCTTTAACATTGAAGTCGATGGGAGACTTTAACAATGAAGTCTATGGGAGTATTTAACATTGAAGTCTATGGGAGCATTTAACATTGAAGTCTATGGGAGCATTTAACATCGAAGTCAATGGGGACCTTTAACATTGAAGTCTATGGGAGCCTTTAACATTGAAGTCTATGGGAGCCTTTTAACATTGAAGTCTATGGTAGCCTTTAACATTGAAGTCTATGGGAGCATTTAACATTGAAGTATATGGGAGCCTTTAACATTGAAGTCTATGGTAGCCTTTACCGTTGAAGTCTATGGGAGCATTTAACATTGAAGTCAATGGGGCCTTTAACATTGAAGTCTATGGGAGCCTTTTAACATTGAAGTCTATGGTAGCCTTTAACATTGAAGTCTATGGGAGCATTTAACATTGAAGTATATGGGAGCCTTTAACATTGAAGTCTATGGGGGCCTTTAACATTGAAGTCTATGGGAGCATTTAACATTGAAGTCAATGGGAGCCTTTAACATTGAAGTCTATGGGAGCCTTTAACATTGAAGTTTGTGGGAGAATTTTACATTGAAGTATATGGGAGCCTTTAACATTGAAGTCTATGGGAGAATTTAACATTGAAGTATATGGGAACATTTAACATTGAAGTCTATGGGAGCCTTTAACATTGAAGTCTACGGGAGCCTTTAACATTGAAATCTATTTGAGTCTTTAACATTGAAGTCTACGGGAGCCTTTAACATTGAAGTCTATGGGAGACTTAAACATTGAAGTCTATGGGATCCTTTAACATTGAGGTCTATGGGAGCCTTTAACACTGAAGTCGATGGGAGCCTTTAACATTGAAGTCTATGGGAGACTTTAACATTGAAATCTATGGGAGTCTTTAACATTGAAGTCGATGGGAGACTTTAACAATGAAGTCTATGGGAGTCTTTAACATTGAAGTCTATGGGAGCCTTTAACATTGACGTATATGGGAGCATTTAACATTGAAGTCAATGGGAGCCTTTAACATTGACGTCTATGGGAGCCTTTACCATTGAAGTCTATGGGGGCCTTTAACATTGAAGTATATGGGAGCCTTTAACACTGAAGTCTATGGGAGCCTTTAACATTGAAGTCTATGAGAGCCTTTAACATTGAGGTATATGGGAGCCTTTGACACTGAAGTCGATGGGAGC